GGAACCTGTACATAGACCCAGAAGAAGTTGTTCAAACAGAACAAGGGAACCACAGAATTGTTCAAAATTAGGAAAGGTGTGCTCCAGGGTTGTAGTTTTTCACCATACTTCTTCAGTTTGTATGCTAAGCACATAATCTAAAAAGCTGGCTCTATAAAGAAAAATGTGACATCAGGATTGGAGTAATATTCATGAACAATCTGTGATATACTGATGATACAACTTGTTTACTAAAAGGAGGACTTAAAATATTTAGTGATGAAAATCAAAGATCACAGCCTTCAGTATGGATTGTACCTCAGTATAACAAAAACAAAAATTCTCACCACTGGATCAATGTATAATATCCATTAAATGGAGAAAAGATTGAAGTTGTCAAAGACTTCATTTTGTTTGAATTGGCCAGCAACACTCATGGAAGAAACAGCAGTTAGGAAATTAAATGGTGTATTGCATTAGGCAAATCTGCTGTGCAAGACCTCTTTAAAGTGTTCAAGAGCAAAGATGTCAGTTTGAAGACTAAGGTGTGTCTGACCCAAGCCATGGTATTGCCAATAAGCTCATTTGCATGTGAAAGTTCCACAGTGAATAATAAGGAAGACCTTAGAATTGATGCATTTGAGTTATTGTGTTAGAGGAGAATATCAAAAGTCCTATGGACTGCCATAAGAAAAAAACCCACTTGTGCTGGAAAAAGTACAGCCAGAATGGTCCTTAGAAGCCAAGATACCCAGACTTCGTCTCATACTTTGGGCATAGTATCAGGAGGGACCAGTCCCTGAGAAAGATAACATGTTTGGTAAAGTGGAGGGTGGGAAAAAAAATGCAAGACCCACAAGGAGATGTATTGGCACAATGGCAGCAGCATTGAACTCAAATATAGCAAAGCGTGTGAGATTGGCACAGGTCCAGGCAGTGTTTTGTTTGGTTGTGCATAAGTCAGTACCGACTGCATGGAACCTAACAACTATAATAGTAATAGTTTCCATTATAAGACCCATCACTGTCAGTTTGTTGGCTGAGTCTTATGTCGCCATTGCAGTGAATTCTAGAACGCAGCTTAAGCAGAGTGTGTGCTGTGAGAGGGATGGTTGATGACATTTCTTTGCCAAGTGTTTTACGGATTCATCATCATTCTTTATCATTGCTGTGGTGCAGTAAATTATTTAATGTCTCTTCAGCCATAATCTTTGCAAACTCTCACCTCGTTACATTTTCCTGATGAGTCTCAGTAAGACATACTATTTCTTTTAAATGCTTATTTTAATCTTAAAGGTATTCTGTTAGCATCAAAACTCTCGAAATATAAAATCTCACATGCTATATATAGTTAAAAGGAGCTCTGGTAGCGTAGTGGTTACGAGTCGGGCTGTGAACCTTAAGTTCAGCAGTTCGAAACTACCAGCTGTTCCGCAGAAGACAGATGAGGCTTTCTGCTCCAGCCTCGGAAACCCTGTACAGGGTTGCTCTGAGTCAGAATCGACTCCACAGCACATCACCACCACCGCCATATATAGTTAGGGAGTCCTGGTGTGATGCAGTGGGTTAATGTCCCGGACTGTAAAGTCAGTTGGAACTGCATGGTAGGTAGTTCAAGCTCACCACCCGTTCCTAGGAAACCCTATACAGAGTCACTATGGGTCAGAACTGGCTCAACGGCACTTAACAACAACAGGAATATATTAGTTAGGGGTTGGCATATTTAGATCCTTGCATCCAGTGTTTCAAATAATATTAGTGTTTAAGGCTAGTGTCTAGTTAATTTTCATGTCCTGATTACCAGACACTGTGTACATAAATTGAACATTTTTTTATGTATGCTGTGGTATTATGGTGGGTGCAGGATACAGGCACATTTGAATTGCTTTAAATTGTTCATATCTGATGTTAACATCTGATTTCAACCATATTCCTGTTTCATCACTTATAAATCTATCATTCTTTTATATATGAGAAATTGGTGGGAAAGACCTTTTGCAAATAAAAGCTGACATTTCACTTTTAAGAAACTCTTTTGACCCAGGAAAGAATTCCCTGGACATATCAATGTAAAATTAAAGCAGTAAATCAAAATGTAATATGTAATTGCCAGCATCTTTCCCTGTTTTAATTTTTAAATCATTATGTTGTTACTGCATTTTATTGCATGTCCTGTACCTGTGGCTTGTATATAATCCATCAAGTTATTCCCTCTCCCCACTTTTTAAAATCCGAGGCTTTTGATTCTTTTGTTTGAGTTTCAATTTCAAAAACATTAATTTGGAATCATGGGAAAACAGATACCATTTTATTTCAAAAAAGGGAAGGTAATTTGAAGTAATTGCTGTGGTTTATTAATGTCAAAAGTATACCCAGGATTACCTATAAAAATCTTTTTTTTTGTAGCAGCAGGAATTTTGTAAAAAGATTGGTTTTTTTGATAGAAACTTTTACTCTAGTTCATTTTATGTTTGAAATATACTTAAAATCAGCTATTTTTGTAATTTCTCATACTGAGAATAACTAGCAAAATTGTATCCTGTATTTTTAATAGAGTAAGTGTCTCAGGAATTAACTTTTAATATTTTCAAATGTTTGTTTTGCTTCTAACTGTTAAAGTGTCATTTTCCTACTGACTTTTTTGTATTTTAGTGTACTCTTAAAGAGCATTATCATTTTTCACCACTAAGTTTTGTGGGGTTAGTGTATTTTTTTTAGTATAGTTTTAAAGTGTGTAATTTTTTTTTTTCATTTATCTTTTGTTTCTATTTGATATGACATCTGTAAGTATATTTAAATATCTTTCGTTCTTTAGTCATTTGTGGGACAGTTCACTATCACGATGACATTGAACAGGACAGGCCAGTGGAAGATAGCATGCGTCAGTACCATCATGTATATTCAGTAGGATTTCCTATAATACTTTTATGTTCATTGTTTTATCAGTCAGCATGACAAGTACTTTTCCACTTCATAGCCTTCCAGGGAGTCGTTGCTTTGCCCCTCACGTATCCCACAAGGTGTCTGTTCTATCCTATTTCACAGCTTTAGAAATAAAAGTGGGTTGACTAGTTACCACAAACTTTGTGTTTTTTGACACAAACTTTCTTTCATTCTCACAACCAGAGATTTATTCAGATGTATGTTGAGAAAATATCCTCAACAATTAAAAAAAAAAAAAAATCTCCAAATTGGACTAATTTCAGGTATTGACAGTAGTACTCAGAATCTAATGGTCTGTAAAGAGCTTGACCAGTTTCCTGGGCTTGGGTTTTTGCACATGATCATCTGTGATACTTGGTCACTTGGTCACATGAGGCATGATCTGGTGGTGTTCAAGAAGTCACTGGTAGGAAATATCCTACCCATGCTAAGAACTCTTCAGAAATGGGAAGGCTGCCTGTAAATGCTTTTATTTTGATCCTCCTCATATATGAAGGGGCTTCAAAACATTTGTGGAAAAATGGAATCAAAATATTATGGAATTTTTTCACAAAGTTTTTGAAGTCCCTTTGTATAGCCATAAGGACTTTAAAAAATAAACATCTACAAACACTTTTTATATGGGAGTATTTGCTCCTTCCAGTCGCATTTGTCAATGCCTGTTTCGTATGATGCTTTTATTAAAGTCCACGGGTACTCTTTCCTCCCCATGAAGAACTGCTTGCAATATCAAATTACTTCTGTATACTATGAATGGCTTTTAAGCTTTTGTCGTAGATTAAAGAAATCTTTTAGTTTCTTAATACTGTAAGTATACAGTTAGCATGATATCCCATTCAGAAATAAGTATGTTGTTGTTAAGTGCCGCCGAGTCGATTCCGACCCATAGCGACCCTGTATAGGGTTTCCAAGGAGCAGCTGGTGAGCTTGATGGTTTTGCAGTCTGGTGCATTAACCCATAGCACTACACCAGAAATCAGTATGTTGTTGTTGTTATGTGCTGTCGAGTCGGTTCCGACCCATAGCGACCCTGTACAGGGTTTCCGAGGGTGTAAATCCTTACCAGAATAGAAAGCCTCATCTTTCTCCCGCGGAGCAGCTGGTAGTTTCAAACCGCTGACCTTAAGGTTCACAGCCCGATTCGTAACCACTACGCTACCAGAGCTCCTTAGAAATCAGTATAACCATGGCTAAATAGAAGAAGGTATTACTATTAAAGTATAATAAGGTATTATGGTTATGGAGCAAAATGTCATTTTTTCTGGAAGTGGTAAGCTAACATGTATAAATTAAATATCATGATACCTATAACAACTGTCAAACAATTCTTGTAAACCCAGGGAAAACACATACACACACACACACACACAAAGATCATGTGTATGTGCTTTACACACAAATAGGAAGACAAAGCAAATGGAAGAGTGTTAGAAGCCTATGAATCTAGATGAATTAACACATTGGGTGTTCATTCTACTGTTGTTGCATCTTTTCTGTGGGTTTGAAATGTTGAAAGAGTTGGAGGGAGAAAAAAATACTGTAAACTACTATTCTGCCTTGCAGACCTAGTGTGCTTGTGACTTGATTAATGTATTATTTAACATCAGATTAGTTAGTATGTTAAATGTACTTTTATGCAGACGTATTTAAACCTTTAACAATCAGCAAAGTAATACAATCTTCTCTTATTGCTTTATGGATTATGGATTCTGAAGTCTCTGGGTCAGAAAATATTAACTTCTTCCAGCTGTGGTTATCGGTGATTATTTTTGGCAGGAAATGATTTCTAACTGAGCGTATGCAGAAGTAAGATTCCATGCTGCACAGTAGCCATTCATTTTTCTAGTTTTTATTACTAACAGTCCTCGTTGGCTATGGCAGCTGTATGTATCACCTTTGTTGTTGAATGGTTTCATCCCAGCTATATGTGGGCTTCATATGTCTTTTGATATTTAATGAATAATACAATGTGTGCCTTTTTTTTCTACTTGAGTAAATGATGGAGGAAAGAAATTTAGCTCTCTTGATTTGACAGAACCTAATTATGGTTCTGTTGTGATTTATTTTTCTCTTTCTAGACCAGAGTATTTAAATTGCTTCAAAATCAAATCCAACAACAAACCTGGAGTGATGAGGGCACCCCATCTATGCGAGAGCTTCGGTCAGTCTTGCTAGAATTTGCTTGTACTTACAGTCAGGAGAACTGCCGTACTACTGCCATGAAGCTCTTTGAGGACTGGATGGTGTCCAATGGAACTCACAGGTGAAGTGTGTTTCTATCCCAATGACCTGTCTTCCTATTCTTTACCTCACATCATATCTCAAAACCAGGGTCTTTTCTTCATGGGTTACAGATGCTGTAAAACAGTGTTACTGTAAGTAAATTATACATCGTTGTTCTCAAAAATGTTTATTTTAGTTTAGTAATAAAACATACCAAGTGAGGAGTTAGCGGTTAATAGAAATTCTTTTGGCAATAATGGATTCTCTCCAGGTTCTTACCAGGCATGATAGAAGAAAATTCAATCATCAGGTGAAGAATTGGGCTGAAGGATTTGTATAACAACCTTTTGCGTTCCTTAACTGAGTGGGGCAAATGGTTAACACACTCAGCTGCTAACCAAAAGCTTGGAGGTTCAAGTCCACTCAGAGGCCCCTGAGGTCTACTTCTGAACACTCGGCCATTGAAAATTTTGTTAGCACAGTTCTACTCTAAATTTGTTGCCATTAAGTTGATTTTAACACATGGTGACCCCCATGTCATTAAGCTGATTCTAACACATGCCCCTCCCCCAATCTCTGGGATTTTGACATAAGAATGTAATTGTGCTTTTCCCCCTCATCTTACCCCTCACTGCCCTCTGTATTGCTGCTATATTTCCACCATGGAACTTTATCACACTTTATATATTTATTGTTCTGTACTTTATGATATCCTTTGAGTTGTTGGCTCCAGCATTCAGCCACTCATGTGTTTGGTTTTTGTACATGCTTGGAGTCCTGGTGTGGTTCTGCCAGTTAATGCACTAGACTGCAAGTTCGGTTTGAACCAGAAGGTCAGCAGTTTAAGCTCACCAGCTCCTCCTCAGAAACTATGTACACAGTCGCAATGAGTCAGAACCAACTCAACAGCACTTAACAACAACAAGTGAATACTGTATTAAATTGATGTTCTTCATCGTCATGCACTAGCAAAGTAGCAGCAACTCAATTAACCATTTTCTTGGCTCTAAGTTGTTGAGTGAAAAACACACTGCCATCAAGTCATTTTCAACACATAGTGACATTATATGATAGAGTAGAACTGCTCTGTAGAGTTTCTGAGACTGTAATTCTTTAGATAAGCAGAAGCCTTATCTTTTTCTCTTGGGTAAAGAGTCATCCAATTATCACCCATCCTGACCCCAAAATCAGTGTCATTAGTCAGTTTGTTGAATTTGTGCTCAGGATTTTTTCTTTGGGTTCTTATGTATGACCCTTCTTTTTTACAGCCTACCTACTGATGTCATGACTACTGTGTTCAAAGTTGGATCAAAAACTGAGAAAGGCTGGTCATTCCTTTTAAGCATATACTACACTGTAAGCTCTGAAGCAGAGAAGAATAAAATACTTGAAGCCCTTGCCAGCTCAGACGATGTACGGAAACTCTACTGGTATGAAACCACCCCAGGAATATGATACATAGAAACCAAAACATAAAAGCATTGTGCTTTCAGGATGGGAGGTATATTTACTCCGTTTACTAATTAGCCGAACCTGACTTGGCCAGTGCAGTGAGGAGCCTACATACACTGGGCTTCATGTCAGGGATTGACCCTTTGCAGCTATCCATAATATGCTGTGCTCCAGAGAGCTGAGAAGATACCAGCTATCACAGCCCCTTCTAGTCCCTGCTCAAACCTTTCTCCATCGTCTTGGCACATTCCACAGTCAGTGTTGCTTTCTTTTGGATGAAGGCATTTTTCTAAGCCATCGCTTAGAAAATACAGAAACGTCAGAAAAGGGTAACATGTTAGATGCTTAATATAGGTTAATTCTTCATGTGAATTTGTCATATTTTTCCTTTTCAAAACCCGGTTGATAAAGGCCTGCCAATGGTCGTTTCATGTAGGTCAGAAAACGAGAGCAGTAAGCAGGCCTCTTGCCAGGAAGAGCAGGCAAGTCTCTCTAGATAGCCGAGGGAAATATGAGGTACTTGCCGCCTGGCACTTAGGACACCAGAAATGAAGAGTCGTGCTGAAAACATGGAGAGAGGAGAGACACCTGGATCACATTGTTTCTTTCATTTAATGATGCTCAGGGAGCTCCTAAAAGTGTCCAACGGATATCTTTAGCACATACCCAGATTCACATATTGTCAGTAGGCATTTTCTTAAGACATAAGCAAACAGAAACTTTTTTGTTTTGTTTTTAATCTACACTTAACAACACAATAAATTCCCAATATAATGTATTCAAATGATACCTAAAAATATGCAATAAAATGTGAAAGTATCTCTTAAGGTCTTTCATTTCTACTCTTTTTGGGTCTCTGGCCTGTGTATTTACTGGTGGAGGAGGCTGGTTTCCATTTTTGTGTCTGTAATTACACATGATAACATATTCAAGACATTTATTTTCTTCTCAGTGTTTTATGACATGATGTAGAGATTTTCCATGTCAGTTCCTAAAGCTTATTTCTTTTGTCCGTATGGCTGCATAGTAGTCCATAGTATATTATGAAGTATTTCATAATAGTGTATTGTGAGTGTTTCATAATTTGCTTAACTCATCACATCTTGACTGACATTTGGGTTTTATCTTCTGTTAAAAATACTGCATTTTTGGAGAGTTTGTTTTATCATTATAAGCAGATTGCATTCGCATAGAGGGTGAGAGAACTGCTTACCTTCAAAGTCAGACTTTACCTGTTGTTGTTGTTGTTAAGTGCCGTCGAGTCGGTTCCGACCCATAGCGACCCTGTACAGGGTTTCCGAGGGTGTAAATCCTTACGGGAGTAGAAAGCCTTATCTTTCTCCCGCGGAGCGGCTGGTAGTTTCGAACCGCTGACCTTTAGGTTCGCAGCCCGATTCGTAACCACTACGCTACCAGACTTTACCTAGTATGACTAAAACTAGGTAAAACAACTACCTACTTTACCAGAAAAAAAAAAAAAAAAGCCTATCTCCAGAATTATAATTCTACCAGAATTTGTTTTCTAGACCTTTGATATATCAAAAACTATTATATGATCATATATGTAAACGCCTAACTCGTTGGTGACTTCCTCCTTCATTTATGACTAGTTCTCAGTTTTCAAAGACTTTACTCAGAAGACCAATGCTAAGCGAAGTTATTATTTTATCATGAATAATTGTTTTGGAGGTTAAATCGACTGTTCTCTTCAGGTTAATGAAAAGTAGCCTTGACGGAGACATCATCCAAACACAAAAGCTGTCTTTCATCATTAGAACAGTGGGCCGACGTTTTCCTGGACACCTCTTGGCATGGGACTTTGTCAAAGAGAACTGGAATAAGCTTGTACAGAAGTAAGTTTCTCAGATAATTATTGTTAGTATTCTTAGGTTTTGAATTTGAAAGGCACTTCAGTGTAGTATTGGTTCACAGGCATTATGATTTACTTTCAGAAGATATGCTGCCTTGACTGAAAAAGCCCCTGATCTTTACCTTTGTAAACATAATTCCATAATGTGCTCCATTCAACAGTAGTGTGCCATTTGAATACGAATCAAGCCCAGACATGCCTGGCATCAGGTAACTTGGCTCAGCATGGCCACGTACTATTTCAGAATAGCTGTTTGGCTACCTGTTGAAAATGCCTCTTTATTGGCAAGGGATCTGTTAAGAGTTCACACCTATCTAGAATAGCACATGATAAGTTTTTTTCTTTCTTTTTCAAAAGCAAGAATGAGATTTCTGGGAGTCTGCCACAATTTTTTAGTAGATTAAAGAAAGTTACCATTTATCTGGATATCTCCTGTTACCATCTCCCCCCCCCCCCCCACACACACACACACACTTTTGGCCTTCCTACTAGAAGTAGTATGGGTAGGACTACTCCTAATTTACTAAGCTGATGTTCTAAGAATCAGGAATCCAGTCTGCCTTTGGCATATAGACTCAGCTGAAAGCATTTCTTTTACTTTTAGAAACAGTGCTTTGCTGACCAACAGTTGCCTCATTTTGTTTTTCTCCTTTTGCTCTTGTATTTGTGTTTGTCCAGGTTCCATCTGGGGTCCTATACCATACAGAGTATTGTTGCTGCATCAACTCACCTGTTTTCAACAAAGGCTCATTTGTCTGAGGTTGGTGATGTGAAATGCTAGTTATGAAGGTTGGCTAACCCTTTCTCTTTAGGCTTGCTCAGTTTAAATTAGATATGGGGTTGCCTTATGCCAATGCCTGCCCCTCTGTCATCCTTTACCAATGTGAAGATAAGATTTACTTACAAAGGATGGGATGTATGACAACAAGGAAAAATTCCAATCCATTTTAAATGTTCCCTTATTTCCCTGACACAAATTTTTTTTTTTTTAAGTTAGACTATCATATGCCAAACTCATTTCATTTTCTCCAGAAAATGAATATTGTCCGCAGGGACACATTGTCAGGAGGGACCAGTCACTGGAGATGGATATCGTGTTTGCTAAAGTGGAGGGTCACAGAAAAACAGGAAGACGCCCAATGAGATGGATTGCCACAGTGGCAGCATCAGTGGGCTCAAGCGAAGCAACGATTGTGAGGTTGGCCCAGGACTGGGCAGTATTTCGTTCTGTTGTGCATAGGGTTGCTATGAGTCGGTAAACCCTGTGGTGCCTAACAACAACAACAACAACAATGCCAAATTCTTTTTTTTTTTTTAAGTAGTAATAATGTTTTAAAGGATTATTTCAGAGTGAATTTTTAGCACCAAGTCAACTTTAGACTCTACCTAGTTTACTGTGATTTCGCCTTTCCCACCCCATTTTAAATTTTAGAAATTTATCCTGTGGGAACAAAAGGATTTAGTTTTTTTTAAAAGAAACTTCACATTTTTTAGTTAAAGCTTATTTGAAAAGGATATTTAGAATTATCTAAGGTTTACATTTTTGTCTTTTGAAATATTTCTATGTGGAATTTACAGGTCCGGGCCTTCTTTGAAAATGAGTCAGAGACAACATTTCGGCTGCGTTGTGTTCAGGAGGCTTTGGAAGTCATTCAACTGAATATCCAGTGGATGGAGAAGAACTTAAACACTCTGACATTGTGGCTGTAACATGCACAACCGCACCTCATTTTGTTGCCCATTCAGAGCTTGTAAAGTTGGGGCTCTGCTGCTTTTGCAAAAACCAAGGTGAAGCCAGGATCGCTACTGAGTTGTTTGCACTCTTAGGAGTTCTAGTTAGCTCAGGGCACATTTATATTTTTCATCTGTCTTTTCTGAGTGTTAAGGGGCAGTATGTAGTTCTTGACTACAAAATTGTATGCACCTATATGCCAATCAAAAACAACGAATAACTTTTCTACTTTGAAGATACAGAAATGGGGAGGGGGCTAGAAATCTATTTTGGAAATCTGTTCTATCTCTCAGTACCTGAAAGTACTGACAGTGGAACAAGGAAAAGCCCACCATACAAGTTACCATCTTTGCAGACTGCTGGTTTGTCAGCCATTCATTGCTTCATGTGTTCAAAGTTAGCTTCAAATAGTAATGAAGACAGTGAAGCATGTAATGAAGAAAACTGATCTCAGGTGTGCAGATCTACTCTGACTTGGGGTTTTGATTAGTCCTTTATCTCCTAGAAAAAGTTTAAGTAAGATCTATATCTCCTTTTTTTTCTTTTCCAAATAGCCAGGCGCTACAGATTTTTGAAGTTTTTGTTGTATTGAGAAGCTAAATCACAAGACCAAAAGAGTAAATTTCCTAAATACTTAACACTTTCATTGTTTTATAGCATTAACCTAGGAAACGGCTTCAAAATGAGTTGACTTTAATTATAATTATTTTTTCGTGGTCATTGATATATTTCAATTCTGTACACTTTTATCACTCTATGCCATAGATATGCCTTATGTTATAGATAGATGTCTCTTACTTTTCTGCCAAGCATTTTTGTTAACACTGGTCTCTTTCATTGTGACTTCTGTCACCATTAATAAGAATATAACTTGTTAAAGTTGTCTTTTGGCAGAATAGATCATAGATTCTTTCTCTCTGAATCATACCCATATGTGGATTTTCATTTTATATGATAGAATAGCATATCAGGAGCATACTTTAAAATAGGGCCTTTGAAAGCTGAACATGTTTATTTGAAGTTCACCATTGTACCTTAAATAAGAATGAAGAAAATGTAGGATAGGAGTGATTTATATTCAGATTTGATATGGTGGGCTTTGAATTTTTTTCCCAGGATCAAAGCAGTACTTTTCTTTAATTGATGATCATTGTTTTTCTTTTATTGTGGCCAAACTAACAGATTAAAAGAAATGGCCAGAGAAAGACAAATGAGGCAGGATATCAAAAACTGTATGGCATTGTCACTCCTGAAGGAGAAGCACTGTACTTGAATTTCTTGAGCTATGCAGACTTATACTTAGATTGTTGTGTTCTTTGAATAGTAGGAGTAAAGCATTCTTAGTAATTCTTGTGTGGTTTATATTTTGTTTGAAAACCACGTCTATGTAGATGGAAAGGGTAGTTGCCCCTTTATGAGCACTTAAAACACTCCACAGAATCCGACAGTGGGGAAAGGTCACATTTTTTTATTCAGCAGGTGTGAAGTTAGAGTTATGTGAGATCTGTATAAAATTATATTTATTTTATGGAAAATATTTTTCTAAAACAATTGTAAAGACTGACAAACTAAAAGATAGCCTTCTTTAATCTTAGTGTTTTTTGCCCCAATTTAGTTTTTTTCAACATTTATCTATTTTAGAGTAGGAAAACAAATACTATATTCTGAGTCATCAAAAGATATCTTCTTTAAACTTAGGTGATTGTAGGTCTCTACTCTGTGCTTCAGTAAATGAATGATAATTTAATTGATTTGAAAGTTACTGTGTTTTTATATTTTTAGATTGGGAAAATACTTAACTGTAGAGGGTTTTTTGTTGTCACTGTTTTTGTTTTATTTTTTACCATGTTGAATGACTAAATTCCATTTTGATACAGAGTTTGCATTTTGTTACTTCTCAGAATCAGTTATGATTCTTCAACTTTAACTGCCCATCTTGGCCTTGTTCTTGTAATATTTGTTAACTCTGCATATGGCAAATCTTGTCTTTAATTCTATCCTTTTATTTTTTTCGTGTGTGTGTGTGGGAAGTGTTATAACTAAAACTTATCAAACCATGGGCCGAAAGAAAGGGAGTTCATGATCCATTGTTATCTATGTACTAGGAAGCTGTTCTTTTCCATATTACTGCTCCGTAATATCTCCATTATTAGTAGTTTTATAGGCCTCACCTAATTTTTTCCCAGAGAATTTCATAATTTTTAATGCTAGCTCATGTGACTAAGGACTTCTAAAATCTAACACTAAACCAGAAATATGAGGTTAAATAATGGGTAAAATGTGTAGTGTAGTAAGTGTAAGTGTAGCTTTCAAAGGTTTTTTTTCCAAAAATAATGTTAATGCTTAGCCTCTGTATTTCTGAGAAGTCAAAAAGATTGAAGCACAGAACTCATATATACCTTTTTACTGAAGCACACAGATCCTGATGAGTATTACTTGCCTTTCATCACTGAAGGACTGTCCACTTGAATGTACTAAAAAAGGCACACCAGACATTTTCATATTAGTAAAGAGATAAAAATGGAAATTATGGAAGAAAAATGTATTCTCTTGGAGATCTGAAAGGTTATTAAAGTAGAACTCTTAAGAAGTCCAGTATATTCTGTTTTTAATCAGTGATTCGATATACTAAATGCAGGTGCTGTCAGTTTCAACCATAAATTAGTACCTTCCTCCATCTGTGCTTTTCTGTCTCTTTAAATGAAATTGTGTCACATGTCATTGCTCTGGTATTATGAAGAACTTTCTTAACTGTCACAGGTTACACTGCTCTCTAAATTCTTGGCCTAAGCATTTTCATTTTAATGTACTTCAATCATTGTAATAGCAAAAGAGATGTCAGAGTAATGCTGAGTCTTCAGAGGAGTAGGGTTGCATCAGTGCTACTGGTTCTAGAACGGAATCCAATCTGAATATTGGGAAGTGAGAAATTAACATTGACTTTGTTGGATTACTCATATATTGCGCTTGACTTGGGTTTTGAAGGAGTCTATACAGGGTTACTATGAGTGGGAACCAACTCAACAGCATTTAACAACTCTAGCATCCAAACTAAAGTACCTGGAGCCATAATCTGTAGCCAGATTGCAGGATATGTAATCCCAGTGCATTTCATAGGATTACAGGGAAGACGTATGCATATCAGTAGGTAAGTCTTCACACAGAGCAGCAATTCCTGGACTGAGTTTGCAAAACAAGAGTGGAATTATTTTGCATAGACCTATCTAGGAACTGTGATCATAAGATGCATCTCTTCTCTTTGCCTTTGTTACTTAAATGTTTTTATTGGAAGGTATTCTGGTCTTAAAGAGCTCCCCTCACCACCCCATTTGTACTTTAAAAAACTAGCATATATAAATATTTTTGCTGATTTTTATATGTTCTTCAGTTTTGTGCTTCATTCGCTATATAGGCAAATAAGTACCAAATGAGAAGTGGAGGTCCAAAAGTATGATTTATCTTCTCCCTGTCTTTTATTGTGTACATAATAGAATAGTTGATTGGTTTCTTTGAGTGGTTTTGGAGGTATATACCTTAAAGAATGTATGATGTTTGATACTTTTATATATTCTTCATTTTATATAATTTGTTTTGATGAAAAATGAGATATTGTCTTATGGAAAACCTTTTTTCCCCTCCCCCTCTCAGTAGTTATTTGATTTCCTCTTTTGTAAGGAGGTGATAATGCTGAGAGACAAGCAGGGTGTTTTCTTTTTAAAATATCTTCAAATACTTTTGCTGCTATTGTGGATTCCGCTCTATTTTGTATTATCTTCGTCCTTGTCATGAGCCTGTAAGATACCAAATGAATTGTAGATGTTCGGAAGTATGACTGATATCCCATTGACTGCTCTTCTTGTTTGTGTGGAGTGTAACAGTAGAGTAGGCTGTAGTCTCTTGATCTAATCCTTAAATGTCCAGGGCATGGGCATTGTATATATTTCCTTTAAGTGTATTATGTATGTCTTGCTACTTTTATATATTGCATTTTATACTTGTTTCTTTGTGTGAATTCATATGTAATGAAAATTGAGGTTCAGAGTATGACAAATCTCCTCTTTCCCTTTTCCTTATTGCCTCTTTGGGCAATAGTTGTTAATAGTTTGTTTTGTTTTGTAGGGGTTGGGGAGAGTGAGGCATGTAAAGTATGAACTTAATGTATGCAGATATATTTTCTACTACCTTGTATTACTATTTCATTTGTACTGTGTCCTTCTTGTGGACAGAAGTGTACATAATGAATGTGGAGGTCCGGATGTATAACAATCTCCTCTTCTCCCTTCCCTTATTGCCTGTGTGGGCAATAGCTAATAGAATAGTTGCTCCATTGTTTGTTTGATTTTTTAAGGGGACAGGGCTATGCACTTAATGTATAATTGTGTTTTTACTATTATATTGTATTATTTCATTGGGTTCCCAGTCCTTCAGTTGGACTGGAAGGTGCCTAATGAACCATGGAGTTCCGGATGTATAACAATCTCCTCTTTTCCCTTCCCTTATTGCCCATGTGGGCAATCATTTTTAGAGTAGTTTGGGACTTTGAAATATTTTTTTGCCAGGGGAAAAGGGGTTCTAGCACAAGGGTATGCATTTAAAATTATCTGTGTGTGCGTGTGTGTGTGTGTGTG